ACTGTTCAGAAGAAAAAGACTGTCGGAGGCATTTTTTGCTCACCAGCTCCTCCGGTGGACACCACCCTGATCTTATGTCCTGTGTGCCCTGAATTTCCCCCCTCATCACCCACATCCTTTTTTATTGATATTCCCCTCCTTCGTGTCATTACCTCAGTGCTCCTTCACTACTGCAGACTTAATTCCTCATTCTCACCTCCTCTTGTACAACCCTCGTCTTCTTCTATCTTATTCTCGCTCTCTCTTTTGCTCCCTTTTCCGCCCTCAGTGTAGGAGTAAAAAGGATTAGTCAAATCAGGAGAGGGAGCAAAGCACTAAATCACCGTATTGAATCCTGGCAAAATAAATTTGGTTCTTTCTCAGCGAGTGAAGAGTCATTTCTGAGGCAATGTGGTTTCCAGCACATCTAACATAATAACAGTGCATAATGAACTAATTTGAGAATGACAGTTATATTATAAAAACTCATCTCATTAGACTAAAGTGATCAAGATTCATAAAAGAAAACCTTCAACCGAATGGATGCTGAAGTAAAAAAAGTATTTTTAAACTCCTGAAACTGATGCAGTCTCTGAACAAACAATTATATTTATATGAGATTAGTTACAGACATTTAACATTCATTTATTTACTGTTTTTTCAGGTGATGTGAAATGTAGCCAAACACTGCTATGTTTTTGGCTGCTATATTTCTTAGCATGTATTTCTTTTTTTTTTTTTTTTTTTGGTGATGCTGTGAGTAGATTGCTCGGTACAACTCTTTCATGTCCAATTATGACTTGTTTTCTGTGTATTAAATACACTGTTTCACCCCTGCTGTTTATTTGTAACTAATCCAAATGAAGGGATTATTAGTATGGAAAAATGTGAAGAATTATGTGGGAAAGTATAACTCAAAATTTGGCTTCAAAGAGTTGGAGGATTCTTGATGTCGGCTTGTAAAAAATGTTGCCAGCTGCTTTGGAAACTTCGGTGTCGCTCATTCTTTATTCGACTCTCTCACAATCTGGCATTTATTGCAGTCAGTGTGTAGACTTACTAACTGTCCTGATCTGACCAAAGCCCTCCAGCAGGGTGTATAAATTACATGTGCATCTCCTATGTCTTAATGCATCAATTTTGACAGCCCTAATAATCATTTTTAAAAAAGAGAGAGTCCCCAAGATTACTGACTGGAAACAGAAATGCTGCTCAGCGTACACGACACGGTCATATTGCTGTGCAGTGGACATCAAAGCTCCTGCAAAAGTATACTAACCAAATGTGGTGCAAGGGTCAAAAGGTTATCTTATACAGACTATAGGTGAACAAAAAAGAAAAATAAGAAAAGTTCTTAATTAAAATGGACTGGATGTCAGTCATCGATGGTGTTTTCTGGGAGAAGCCAGCACTGTCAGTGATATCAGACAGCTGAGCTGAATTAAAGTCAACAGCCCCAACCTCCCACTGCAGTTGTGTACCCAGTTATGGCAAGCCTCAGATAAAAGTTTCTCTGTGTTAATACTCAGCATCATTGTGACTGCAGAGGCAGGGAACATTACCAATGTGAAAAGTTCACCACCTCACTAGGAAATCATATCCATTATCTAAAGCTGCTTCTCCTTTGAGCTGTGCATGGGGTGAAGGTTTCGGCCGATCCCACTGACACTGAGCCAGAGGTCATGTGCACCGTGAACAGGCTGAACATGCAAAGACAGACATCCGTCCATGCTTAGAGTTTATTTTCAGCCCTGGTTAATTCAATAACCAGAGCTTCAGTCTACATGTCTTTGAACCATCTGAATATCTCACATCATCACACAGGAGGAAACTGAGGCTGAGAGCTTCAAACATGGGCCAGGGTTTGGCATGCACATCACACACTGTCTGCCTGGCCTATTACACACACACACACACACAGTTTGTAAGGCAGCAAACACCAGAAAGACCATCAACCCAACTCATCAAATCACTATCATAACTTTTGAATGACACCAGGTAGAATATATATCACCAGGACGAGGACTTCCTCTGTCTCCAGCATCAGACCTAGAAATCCAATAAATCTTCACCATGGTGTGTGTGTGTGTGTCTGTGTGTGTGTGTGTGTGTGTGCAGTCTGCCTTCCTTTGAATCTGACTTGTAGTGGGATAAAAAATGAATCAGGTTATTGCATGTGCATTTCCTGGAGATAAATCTCTTTTCTGGAAGGTTATCTCAGTTTATGTGACATGCGAGTGGAGACACATACGGATGGATGCCAAACTGCCAAACTACTTCCTGTATCAACCGCTGTCGCAGAGGTGATTGGAAAACATATTTTTTGTTGCTTCTTTTGCATATTATAGTATTATTATACTATAATAAAAATAATTATTATTGCTAATATTATACCAAATAATGCTCTTTAGGACACTAGTAAAAATGTATTTTGAATCCATGCCTCCCAGTCAATAGGTCCTTCATTCACAGGGTTGTTGCTCCGCTCACTTTGGGAACCCTTAACCTATACATCCTTCAGATCTGAGTGCATGCATTTGATGTACAATGGATCCTCAACTATTGGTTGATCCATCTAATAATTGTGCTTCCCAGCAAAAGAATCATTAGTTTGAGCCCTGGTAGTATCTATTAGTATTTCTGTGGTTGTCTACAAGTATTCAAGTTTTCATCCATTGTCCAAAACACACTATTAGCATAACATGAAACCCTTATATTGACCAGTGGAATTATTGTGATGGACTTATGAGTTGTCCAGGTGGCCCTGGACCCATCACAGAGTTGGGTGTTAGTAAGAGGATGAAAAATTCTCGAAAATGATAGAACACCGTTTTCCAAGTCTGCTATATCACATATGGATGAATGAAATTTTTCAGGATTGATGTGTCTGAGTAAAATAGACGTCACTGTGAATGAACGGTGCGAACCTTCTCAAAATGGCAGATGGTGGGCCCCGTTGAAGAGACGCTTGCACAACAGCTGCAGCCTCCGAGACGTAATGCAAAAATATTTTGATGGAGAAATCAAAATGACTGAAGACAGATCCGTCGTCTCTCTCTGAAGACAGAGAGAGGACGATGAGAAGGGTTGTCCAGAGACGCAGCTTTCACTGAGCTGGAGGCAAGTAGGTCTTATAACAACATGGTTAGGGAATGTTTTTGTTAGAAAACACATTTCCCAGACCATTAGGAGTTGTGATCCCTCTGGGAAACTCGAGCCATTCAGCACGTCTGCTGTGGGTCTTTCTGTGGCTCATGATGCTGATGAAATACTGACGATACTGGATGGAAGTTGCTTCATTGGCAGTAGATAGAATTTTCTTTTCAAATTATCATTTAGTCTGCCGAGGGTTTGACAGCCAGGGGAAGTTGAACATTTTAAATATATTATTTCAGATGTAAAATTTCTGAAACAATTTCCACACTCTCTGTTTCTTCCATCTGTGATTCGCCCGTGGCTGCTTCAGAAGCAGCGTTTGGTATGATGCAAGTCCAATTCAACTGAGATGAGTCTCCGCCTTATGGTACACTCAGATTTCAAGTCATGCATGCAAATTCTTTCCAAACATATCATTTACAAACAATAAGGTGGAAAACCTCCTGAAGCAGAGAGCAGATGTTTTAAATAGCTGGGTGTTAGGATTTAGCCCCAGCATTAATGTTAATTAGAATGTAAACATTTGAAAAAGGTGTTCATTTCTACTGCCGGCTCCACTGTGCACTTTCCCGTTTACAGTACAGTTTGAAAATGTTCCAATGAGCTACGCAGTAAAAAGTCATAACTCCATATTAAGGGTGGGACTGAACTGCAGAGGGTGAACTCATCAATGCCATCAGGACCCCTGACTGTTCCAGTAACAAATGAAAGTGCCATTAGGTTCAGCACAGCTTGTGAGCTACGTGTGAAGGTTGCTGGGTCGGGAGGGTGTGTGGGTGTGGAAAAAAGGGTGTGTAGCTGTGAAGGTGTGTTGCCGGTGGGTGGTAGGTCGTGGGTGGCGCACCGGGGTGACTGCATGTTGACAGGTTACTTACTGTGCCTTCAGGAATATGCAACCTTTAAAAAGCACTGGCTCCAGCGTGAGCTTTTACATAATTAGTTTCTAGCTGTAGTTTCACCCCAAGCAGAAGAGAGGAAAACAACAATTAGATGGGTTCCTTATTAATCATTTGCTCCCATTGTGCGAATGTTAATATGGTTAAAGGTCTGAATGGATTGTGCACTTTGGCTCCATCCAAACAACAGAGGCAAATTTGTTTGTATACAGATGCACTTCCAACACTCTTCCTATAGGGGGCAGTCTTCTTTAGACTATTTAAAATTTTCCATTAAATATTAATGCTCACAGTTAGCGTTGCTGTCAGATATTGAAATGTTAAAGTACCGTACAGGCAGCGGAAAATCACTGT